GTCAAAATACCATCCTATATAATAAAAGGGTAATATGCAAATTGACCCTAACAGCAGAAAGACTGGGAATGACTGGTCACTATGACACACACTGACCACCAGGGGGCAGACGCTCAATGCAGGAGCTGCCCCCTGGTGGTCAGTGTGCTCCCATAGGGGGAGCTCTGCTCAGCCACAAGCCAGGCTGATGGCTGCCAGCACAGTGGTGGTGGTGGGAGCCTCTCCCACCTCCTCAGCAGCACTACGGATGTCCGACTGCAGCTTTGACCTGCTCCCCGCTGGCAAGTGGACATCCCCCTAGGGCTCCCGGGCTGCCAGAGGGATGTCTGACTGCCAGCTTAGGCCCGTTCCCCCGGGGAGCGGGCCTAAGCCAGCAGGTGGACATCCCTCGAGGGGTCCCAGACTGCGAGAGGGCACAGGCCTGGCTGAGGGAGCCCCTCAAGTGCACAAATTTTTGTGCACTGGGCCTCTAGTATTTCATAACTGTCATGATCTCTGTGCCCAAATCATATTTTGGCAAATGCACCAAGATATATTCAGTTGTGGGGTCAGAAGTGTGTGTTAAGTGACACATGTGTGAGAGTTCTCTCTCCTAGCTTCCTGACTTTTTAAAAAATTAATCTTTATTGTTGAGATTATTACAGATGTCCCTCTTTTTTCCTCCTATAGCCCCCCTCCATCCAGTTCCCACCCCACCCCAGGCCCTCGCCACCCTATTGTCTGTGTCCGTAGGTAATGCATACATGCATATAAGGTCTTTAATCTCTTCCCACACCCCCTTCCCTCTGAGAATCGTCAGTCTATTCCATTTCCCTGGCTCCTTTTTAAATGAGGTTTTATTTATTTTCACAAATACAATATGATCTTTTACCTATTGCTCTTATATCCTTGTAACTTTGCTGAACTTTAATTAGTAATAATAGTTTTTTGAGTGGATTCCGTAGAATGTTCTAAATAATTTTACTTTTATTTTCCAATCTGGATGCCTTTTAGTTCTTTTTCTTGCCAAATGGATCCAGCTACACCCTTCAATACAATATCTCTATGGCCTTTGGTTCCTTGTAGATCTCAGCTGTGTTCCAAATGGTCCATTTGCTGAATTAAGGACTTCTAGATAAGGTATTCATGAGGTGACTTTCCATAAAGCTTTTTTGAAGTACTGCCTTCCTTGAGAATCAAATTCTATCTTATATTATTTTTAATCCATTTTTGTAGCCAGAATTTTCTATTATTCTATATTTAAATTGCTCTGTCTTAATTCCCTCCATCTAGATTCCCTAGAAGTCAAAGTCAGAAGACCTGGTTTTCAGTCTTTAAGTCCTGCCATTTACTAGCTGTGTGATATTTGACTAGTCAGTTTCCCTTCTTGGCTCCTTTTCCTTTTCTGTAAAGTGAGAGTTGAAGTAGATGATATCTCAGCTAAAGTCCCTTCCCACTCTAACAATCTATCATTTAATATTCTAATAACTTAATGCCATAAATAAGAAGTTAGGATTCATATGGGATAAAGGTCTAAACAACTTTTATTAGTTAGTAACCTGTTAATAGTTTACATAGTAAAGGAAGTTTTAAGATAACTTGTTGGGATACAGATAAGAGAAGCCTGGATTTCAGACCTTTGTTATCAAAGACCCAGCTGGCATGGCCTGAAGGATCAAAGCAGAGAGCAATAGAAAGGGAACTTTCTTTGACCAGGGTGCAACTCAGAGCTCAGAGAAGCTGTCAGCAGAGGGAACATTATTGGTTTCAAAATATCATTCTGTATGGAGAGAGACAAAGGTCAGTAGCCTTACAGTTGACCGTGGACTTGGGAGTAGGTAGGTGGCAGGAATAAGTACCTGTCTGAACCCCACCCTAGGCCTAAGACCTGATTCACCCCTGTGGGTGCTTCCTGACAACTGGTGACACCTGGGCATAACTGAAGGACTCTGAACTTGGTCGGTATATGAGAAAGAAGTTGAGACTCTAAAATCTGATATTTTTATTAAGGTTTTTCCCCATTATAAAACACAAAATTGAAAAATACAGAAAAGTGGAAAAATATATAAATCCTACCATTTAGTTACAACCACTGTTAATGTCTTAATGGGTTTCATTCATTTAATACAAATATTACTTAAGGCCTCTTACAGTTACTTCCCCCAATGTTTTTTGTTTGGAAATTCCATATTCACTTAACCTATCCCTTTGGAATGGAGAGAACTCATTTGCTGCCACAAACAACTCTGCCTTGAATATCCTTCTACACATTTTTGTGCTCATGTGCAAGTACATTTTTGTCAACACTGAATATAATCAATATCTTGTCTTTTGATAATTGGTAGCTGACAATATTTTCTTATTACTTATTTGCATTTTATATCTTTTTTATAATATATTTTTATTGATTTCAGAGAGGAAGGGAGAAGGAGAAAGAGATAGAAACATCAGTGATGGCCCTAGCCGGCTTGGCTCAGTGGATAGAGCGTCAGCCAGCGGACCGATGGGTCCCAGGTTCGATGCCGGCCAAGGGCACATGCCTGGGTTGTGGGCTCGATCCCCAGTACGGGATGTGCAGGAGGCAGCCGATCAATGATTCTCTCTCATCATTGATGTTTCTATCTCTCTCTCCTTCTCCCTTCCTCTCTGAAATCAATAAAGAAATATATTTTTTTAAAAAAGAAACGTCAGTGATGATAGAGAATCATTGATTGGCTGCCTCCTACACGCTCCCTACTGTGGAATCTAAAAAACAAACAAAACAGACTGATAAATACAGAGAACAGGTTGCCAGGTGGGATGAGGGGTAGCAGGGCTGGGTAAAAAAGGTAAAGGGATTAAGAAGTACAAATTGGCAATTAAAAGCTAGACACATGGATATAAAGTACAGCATAAGGAATATATTGTACTATGTATGGTGCCAGGTGTGTACTAAACTTATCAGGTAGATCACTTTGTAAGTTATATAAATGCCTAACCACTCTGCTATATACCTGAAACTAATATACTATTGAATGTCAACTGTAATTGAAAAATTAAAAAATAAGATTAGCCCTTATGTAATCATTATGCTAGAAATCTGTTGTCTTTTGCCTTTTTACCTTATCATCCTTCTCATCCCAAATTGAAATCTTGTTAGACAGTCTAATTTATTTCCATTCTGGCTTCTGGGTTTTGTGTCTTGTTTAGAAAAGGCTGATTCTTCACTTCAAAATCATTTTGTGAAATTACTTGATACTTTTTCCTAGTATTTTTCCAGATTTTTGATACACTTCTGTTTCTAGTCTATCTGGAAGTTATTTGAAGATAACAATCAGCTCTAACGTTTGTCTTTTCTAACCTTGACTCTGTGCTCAATGATCCCGCTTCCTGGGAGTTTCAGAACAACCCAGATCTCCTAGATCAGTGATGGCGAACCTATGACACGCGTGTCAGAGGTGACACGCGAACTCATTTTTTTGGTTGATTTTTCTTTGCTAAATGGCATTTAAATATATAAAATAAATATCAAAAATCTAAGTCTTTGTTTTACTATGGTTGCAAATATCAAAAAATTTCTATATGTGACACGGCACCAGAGTTAAGTTAGGGTTTTTCAAAATGCTGACATGCCGAGCTCAAAAGGTTCGCCATCACTGGCCTAGATCCTTGGAGACGTGACCGAACTTGACTTACCGACACATTGCTGGTTGTGATCTAGGACCCCTAAGTCCTCTCCTGCTCACCGAGTCCTTGGCCCAGACCCCAGGGGGAATCTGGACAGACTCCTCTCATGGAGGCACTGGGGCTCCAGGTGGCCCCACAGTGACCTGGACGCCCATTTGTCTGTCACGGGCTGCAGCACTTCCTCTGCACAGTCAGCCCTGGCTCCCTTCCCCTCTTCCCTCCCTTCCCAGCTGCGCACTGTCCGGCCAGCTCTTCTCGGAGGAAATTTGCATCCTGCAGCAGAGGGAGGGCTCTGGAGGACTGCTTCACTGAGCCATGGTCTGTCCGGCGGCCCCCGTGCTACTCCTGGCCATGACTCTTCCCCTCGTGGGGCCACCAGTTGCCCGAGCATCCCAACCTGTGAGTAAGACTGGGGTAAGGACCCTGGGCAAGTCTGCAGAGGCAACAACGGGGACCCCTGGGTGTGAGAGGCAGTGAGGAGTGGGGTGAAATGGTAGGTGGAGGGGAAAGGGCTGGCGATCTGGTTGGTTATCAGGTCTCCGGGACTTCAGTCTTCCATTCCGGAGCGCGGGGATGGCTTTGTTTCTTTATGTGAGTCCCTGTGAACTCCAGTGATGCCTGCCCACTTTGGATAAAGGCTGTTCCAGTCAAGCTTACAATTTTGAAAATGAAAAGAAAAACTTTCCAGATTCGGGACCCACTGGCATAGAGGACAGGAGAGAACCTGGAAAGATGGCTGAGTCTAGATTTGTACTTTCTCATCTTTGTTTGCTCCCAGGAGGCTGTCTCTATCTCTCTCTCTGTCTCTTATCTCTGTCTCCTTGTCTCTATTCATATCTGTTTTTAGGTAGATATCCACATACATATAAAATTTTGAGCAAAGCAGGAGTTGGTGAGGAATCATTTACAGGAACCAGAGACTGAGGGAAGATGCTGCCTCTGCTCACCCCAGTGGCAATTCCTATGGAGGGACTGGAAGCCCAAGCCTCTGGGCCCAGCTGCTCTGCCCAGCCCTCCCCCTGGAGCCCCAGACCCAGCCATTTCAGTTAGCCCAGAGGCCCAGGGACAGGTAAACTCAGGAAGGAATTAAGCAAAGCATGTTGACTCTCTGGGGTGTGCCTGGTTCCTGGGTTCCGGCCCTGGCAGGTCCCTGAGGCTACATCCCTCGCACCTCCTGCCACAGCCTACTTTCTCCTCCCGATGTCCCGCTTAATTCCAGGAAAACGAAGAGGACCTCCAAAGGGGCTGTGTCCTGCCAGCATAGCCAGGCGGCCCCTGAGCCACTTGGAGAAGAAAGTGCCCTCAGAGAGGTGTCAGCCTCTCCTAGGAAGCCTCTCCTCTGTGCTCTGTCCTAGGGACCCAGTCAGGCGGGAGGGGAAACTGGGCAGCAGCTGGACCAAGAGAGCAGAGCAGGTGGTGAGTGGACGGAGGAGGAGGAGGATGTGGAGGAGGAGGAGAGGGAGCAGGAAATGAGGCGAGAGAGGCCTGGAAGAGGCCATGAGGGGTTGGCAAGTGGGGTAAAAGAGAGAGGACTGGGTCTGAGCTGGTCAGGTAGGTACCTACGCTGCCTCTCTCGCTGTGAGGCCTGGAGAAAATCATTCATCTTTAAATGGGGGTTGTTGGGAGGGTGACCTAAAACATGTTTCATAGCTAAATGAGGCGGTAATATCCCCGAGTCCTGGCCGTGCCTCGACGGGCTGTGGGAGGTGTGATCTGCTCCGGGTTCTTGGCAGAGACCAGCTCAGTGTGGGGTGCAAAGGGGAGCTGGCCCCTGGCCTTGCTGCCTCTCCTCTCCAGCTGCCCCGCTTCTCCTGCAGAATCAGCCCTGCTCTCGGTCTATGTCCAGCTGGTCTTTTCACATGGGGGCTGGCCAGCAGCACTCTCCAAGCCCCTGCCTCTGCCCCCTGCCTCTGCTTCCTCTTCCCCGGGAACTCTCGCTGGCCTCAGCCTCACGACAGGTAGGGGAAGTTCACCGCCTCCTGCCTCTGCCGCCCCTGCACAGGCAGGTCTCAGAGTGAAGGGAACGTGGGTGCCCACCCCTCCCGCAGCCCCTGGCCTGAGATGCTCCCTGTTTCCTGGAGCGTCTGCATGGCCCAGCTTCCCCTCACCTCCCACCAGACAGACCCTGCCCCTCCTGCTCCATCTTCTAAATGGGGCCCAAGGCACAGACAGCGGTGGGCCTGGACTTCTCCACCCGCCCCTGATGCTTTGAAACCTGGCTGAGGAGGCAGTCCCAGGCGGGTGGGTGTGGCTGAGGGGCCTGTGACTTGGGGATTATTCCGGACACCCAGCCCCAGAGCCTCTCAGGCATCAGGCAGTCGTGGATCCTGCCGAGCGGGCTTCCCCAGACAGCCTGCCCCCTTCTCCTTCCCCTCCCCTCTGTTGCAGAGTGTAATGTCAAGCCAGATGGACTGACCTATTGTGCCTGCCTGTCTGGATACCAATGGAACGCCAGCATCTGCTCCCGTCACCAGCTCTGCCAGCCCCCCCACAACCACCAGCCCTGCGGCTGCCTGGTCTTCAGCCCTCCTGAAGCTGGGTACTGCCAGGTGCTGCCACCTGGTGAGGAGAGTTGAGAACTTGAAAAGCAGTGGGCCCAAGTGAAAGGAACTTGCTCTGTGTGTTTTTCCTCTCTGACTCTGCATTTCTGCCAGCTGGCCCAAGCCCAGGGGCCCCTCCGGGTGGGAGAAGGCTCCAGCCATCACCGCAGATCAGGGGCCCGCGCGTGGGTCCTGAGTTGTGAGGCTCGTGAACGGCAGGCAGGGCTCTGGAGACAAACCGACAAGGAGAGAAAGCTTCCTCGCCGGGGGAGGGGCAGTCATCGGCCAACAAGGTTCCCTGTTTGGTTCCCAAGGACAGATGGGGGTCTTCCAGGCGGCAGCCACACTCCTCCAGGGACAAAGCAAAATAAATAATGCTAGGTGGGGAGGGAGGGAGGAGGGATGGGCTTCAGAAGCCGGTAGGGGGACGGGACAGGAAGAGCTTAACCCAAGAACATGTGTGTATATATGCATCACATATGGACATAGACAATAGTATGGGGAAGGCCTGGGTGAGGCGGGGCTTGGGTGGAGGCGGGCAAAAAGGGAGAAAATAGGATACATCTGTAATACTGTCAACACAATAAATAAATCAATCAATCAATCAATAAATAAATAAAAATGATGGAGAAGCGTTTCAGCGTCGCTGCACGTCAGCCCACAAGTTCCAAGTTCCTGCCACAGACCCCTGTCTCTTGCCTCCCTGCAGTCCCGGGCAGCCTGAGCCTGAACTCCTGGCTGCAGGTGCCTGGCCACACGCTGAACCTGACCCTCCACACGAGCCAGGAGACCACCAGCCTGAACTGGTTCCTGCGGCGGCACACGGGGAGCCCCGGGCCCATCCCTCTGCAGCCGGGGACACAGGTGTCCCTGACGTCGAGCCAGGGCCAGGCTGTCCTCAGCATCCGCAACATCTCACACGAGTGGGAAGGTAGCCAGCTGTTCTTCCCTCCTCCTCTCTCTTCCCCTTCACCTCCTCCTCCCTCTCTTTTCTCCTCCTCTTCTCCCTTTCCGTTTATTCATTCTGGGACATAATGGGGAAGAGGCCCATTGACGTGGACATTTGTAAGGGAAGAGTGCTGAAAATAGGGTCTCCGTTTTAACCGAGAACAGATGAGGGCTTTTCTTCCAGCTGGTGACAAGCAGGGATGGTGCAGGAAGGGCATCTACTGGAGGGAAGGAGGGAGGTGCACTTTGGAATTCATGGCAACCGGCTCATCAGGAAGGGCCAGGGGTCTCCTCTCCAGACTTCTTCCTGCCTAGGAATCCCTTTGCGGGCAGGGGTCTTTCTTGCTGACGTTAGCAGAAGCTAGACCAAGATGGTCACCCTAGGTTGTAGCTTGGGAAGCAGCAGAGCTTCTGTGGTGCAGGTGGGGGCCGGAGGAGCCCGGAGCCACAGCTGTGTGTGTATGTCTGCAGGTGAGTACATGTGCTGCTTTGAGGCCCAGGGATTCCGGTGGGAGCTGTACCAGTTGGTGAGGGTGCCCCTGCAGGTGACAGATGTGGCTCGGCTTCCAGACCAGCTCTCCATCTCCTGTGCCACCTCCCCGGGCTTCCAGCTGAGCTGCTGCATCCCCTACACACCCCTGGGCTACCTGGCCTCCTGGAGCCCTGGAGAGGGCAGCGAAGGTACGAAAGGGCCCGGCTGGCAGGGGCAGGGGAGAGGGGCAGCTGGTCTCCGCCAGGCAGCCGGCTCTCCAACTCAGCAGAAGCAGAGGCTGCAGTTCCACCTGGGAGTTCTAGGTCCAAGTCCAACACTGTGTTTGCCCGATAGAGCAGTGATTTCCAACCTTTTCCATCCCATGGCATATAAACTAGTCCCCAAAGTTCTGTGGCACACCAAAAAAATACAGGATATATTTAGCCGGTCTGATTTGAAAAAATAGGTATAATTTTTATTCATTCACACCCGGTGGCTATTGTGTTGGTGGTTGTCATTTTTTTTTATTTGACAATCTAAGAGAAAAGAGGTCAGTGCCCCTGATTAAATAGTCGGGTATTGCATGTTTTAAAATCCCCGTGGCACACCAGTTGAAAATCTCGGCTACAGAGCAATGCCAGTTCTATCAATACAGCGGCAGCCACCGCTGCGAAATGCCCTTCTCCACACAAGCTCCTTAAACGCTCGCAATACACTCTGTGAGGTTCATCTGATGACAGTTCATTTGACAAACGAGGAAACTGGTTTCAAGTCTCCGGGCGAGTTATCGGTCCCCAGTGTCCTTCCCCAGATTCCGAGCTCTGCCTTGGGCAATTGGGTGCCCTCGTACCCCGCTGCATCTACTTCTGAAATCGCTAGAAAGGCTGACACGACAGATCTGGGCCTGCTGGGTCCTGGGTCTCTTCCTGGCCTGTGACTGCTCCCTTCTCTCATCTCACCCCCAGCCTCCTTCAACACACCAGGTGACCAGTGCCTTGTGCTGGCCACTCAGCACTGCCCTGCAGCTGACATCACATACACTTGTGACCTGCAGAGCCCAGGACTGACTCCTCTCAGGGTCCCCGTCTCTGTCACCATCATCCAGGGTACGTGGGGCTTACGGTCCAGCTGGCCGACCTCTCACCTGCTTGCCCTGGGAGCCCCCCTGCCCCCCGCCCCTGCATTTCCCGACACGGGGCCGGGCTCCAGAGCCTGCGTGGGTTTCTGCCCAAGGAAAGCCTTGGGCGAGACTGCGGTTGCTGAGCCGTCCCTGACATCATTCTTCAGATGGAGACACTACCTGCCCTGAGGACTCTGCAGTTGTTGCCTGGAATGTCACCAAGGCTGGCCATGTGGCACAGGCCCCCTGCCCCGTGAACAGGACGGGCATGGTGAAGAGGACTTGTGGGCCTGACGGGGCCTGGGGACCCATCCACAGCAGCTGCACAGACACCAGGCTGCTGGCCTTGCTTCGGAGAGCCCAGGTACAGCTCTGGCCCTGCTGCCCACATGCCACAGCCTCCACGAACCACCCTTCCTCACGCAGGACCAGCTCTAGAATCCCTCCTCCTGAGGCCCAGCCCAGAGGTTGTTCAGCTTCTCTGAACTAGATCCCTAGCAGAGCCAGGAAGTAGGTGTGGGGGCTTAGAGTGGCCAGGACTCTCATGGCGGGAGTGTGCCATTCTCAAACCTTAATCTATCAAGGGTCCATCCCCTAACATTGGTGTCAGCTCCTTCCACATGGCTCACTCCGCTCTCTGCTTCCTGATCCCCTGGGAAGGGATGGGGGAGGAAGTGGCCCCTTTCTCCTGAGGACTGCCATTCTTCACCCCCCACCCCCACCCCACCCCACCCTGTCCTGTCTGGATCAGCTGCTGTGGGCCGGCCAGGGCTGGCCTGCTGAAGAGGTGCCACAGAGCCTGGCTCAGCTGCTGGAGCAGACAGAGGTGGTGAGCTCACCCTCTGACTTATTGGCACTGCTGGGCACCATGACATTCCTGGCCAAGGTGGTGGCAGACACCAGAATACCACTTCGCCGCAGTGCCCTGGAGGTAAGCTCTCTGAGCCACAGCAGGAGCCAGCTGGGTGGAGGAGGTAGAAGCTCTTCATCGTTGGCACTCTGTCCCTCTAACATCACCATGGGCTGTCACACGACAGACCTCTCTAGAGTGCAGTGTCTGCTTCTGGGGTCAATCTCTCCTCTTTGGACACCAGTCTCTAAGGCCATGGAATGTGGAGAAGGTTTGATGCTGGGAGCACCTGGGAGGTTGGGAGAAGGTGGGAAGGGATGTGTAGACATGAGTTCAGAGGCGTACATTGCATTCACATGCAGACATGTGGATGTGATGTGAATCCCCTGTGCACACACACGTGCACACACAAGTACCTACATGAAGAAACTCTAACACAGTTGGCTTTGCTGGACTCCCCCAAGCCAGCTCTCAATATAGGCATCAATTGGTGACCCGTAGGCCACAGACAAAAGAATAACTAGGAGTTATGACACTATACACTCTTCCATGTCTGGGAATGTGTGTCACATGTTGGTATACAGACATGCACATGGCTCTGATTCAGAACATGGTGCCTCTACCACCATTCCTAGCTTACAGACCGGTAGGGGTCAAGAAATTGAAGAGGGGCCCCCTTAGGGCCTTGATGACCCCCAAGGGATGGAGGGGGAAGAAGGGTTGTCAGAGGGGTAGAATGTGCTTCAGGAGACCACAGTGTTGAAGATGCCCCCGTGGTTAGCTGAACAGCCCCCCATTCTTCCTGTACAGCAGCTCTCCCTTCATAGGCCTGTCTTCTCCCCTTTCTCTCCAACCTTGAGTCTTGCAGTGAACGAGGAAAGGTAGGTTTGGGGATCTGTAGTTCCCGGTGCCCCAGCTCAGTGCTGTGGGTGCTAGCAGCTAGGCCTAATCTCTCTGTTGGGTGCCACAGGCTCTCCTGAAAACCACGGACAAGGTCCTAGACATGGACACCAGTTCTCTGTGGACCCCGGCCCAGGTCCAGAAGCCCTCGGCGGCCTCAGATCTCCTGCTGGCAGTGGAGACCCTGTCACATAGCCTGTGCCCACAGGATCACCCCTTCTCCTTCAGCTTGCCCAATGTGCAGCTGCAGACCCAGCTCCTCACACCCACAGTTCCTGCTGACTACAGAGTCTCCTTCTCCACTCAGCCCCCACTCTGGGCACAGATTCCCAGACGCTCACTGGCCCCACTGGACACTAGCAATAGTAACATCACGATTACTAGCCTGGTGCTGCGAAAACTGGACCACCTCCTACCCTCAAACTATGGACAAGAGCTGGGGGACTCCCTCTATGCCACTCCCGGTCTCGTCCTCTCCATCTCCATCATGGCAGGTGGCCAGGCCTTCAACCAGGGAGAAGTCACCATGGACTTTGGGGACAGAGATAACCCCTTTCACTGTGTCTTCTGGGATCACCATCTTTTCCAGGGCAACGGGGGCTGGTCAGGTGAAGGGTGCCAGGTGCAGGCAGCCAATGCCAGCGCCACCACTCAGTGCATCTGTCGGCATCTCACTGCCTTTTCCATCCTCATGTCCCGACACACTGTTCCAGGAAACCCCACCCTGGAGCTGCTGAGTCAGGTGGGCTTGGGGGCCTCCATTCTGGCGCTGCTTGTGTGCCTGGGCGTGTACAGGCTGGTGTGGAGGGTCGTGGTACGGAACAAACTTGCCTACTTGCGCCACGCAGCCCTGCTCAACGTGGTGCTCTGCCTGCTGGCCGCGGACACCTGCTTCCTGGGAGCCCCCCTGCTTCCTCCAGGGCCCCGAAGCCCACTCTGCCTGGCTGCTGCCTTCCTCTGTCATTTCCTCTACCTGGCCACCTTTTTCTGGATGCTGGCTCAGGCCCTGATGTTGGCCCACCAGTTGCTTTTTGTCTTCCATCAGCTGTCCAAGCGCCGAGTCCTCTCCCTGATGGTGGTTCTCGGCTACCTGTGCCCGATGGGGTTTGCAGGGGCCGCCCTGGGCCTCTACCTACCCCGAGGGCAATACCTGGGGGAGGGGGTGTGCTGGTTGGATGGGAAGGGAGGGGCGCGCTACACCTTCGTGGGGCCGGTGCTGGTCATCGTGGGCCTGAACGGGCTGGTACTAGCCATGGCCATGCTGAAGCTGTTGAGACCGTCGCTGTCAGAGGGACCCCAGGCGGAGAAGCGCCAAGCCCTTCTGGGGGTGATGAAAGCCCTGCTCGTTCTCACACCCATCTTCGGCCTCACCTGGGGGCTGGGCCTGGCCACTCTGCTCGAGGAAGTCTCCATGGTCCCTCACTACATCTTCACGATTCTCAACACCTCCCAGGTGAGTGGCTGTGCTCGCTGCCATTTTAGACGCTCTAAGTCACCGCCACTCCCTTCTCAGGGTGGCATCATGATGGGGCAGAAGAAACAGCTGGGGAGTTTTAGAAGGCGGAGGTTTGGGTCCCAGCTCCTCCGAGCTGGATAACTTGGGACAAACCTCTCTGAGCTTTGGTTTTCTTATCTGTAAAATAATGTCTGGTTTTGCCAGAGAAGTCGGGGGATTGTCAGTACCCCATCCTCTGCACCGTGCGCAGTAAGAAAAGCACTGAAAGGTCCTGCACAGCAATGGTGCTGATGTACAAAACCCGAGGCGGGGCCTCAGCACCGAATGGACAAGAGGAGGGAGGGGCACGAAGAGGAGAGGAACGGGTTGATTCCTTCCTCGTTGACTCATCCCCATATCCCTCTTTTCAGGGTGTCTTCATTTTGCTGTTTGGTTGCCTGATGGACAAGAAAGTGAGTCTGCCCACCGAATCCCCGCCTGACTCACATCCGAAGGCAGGGACTTTGGCTGCCATAACCAGGCATTTCTCTCTCCTGCAGGTACAAGAGGCTTTACTCAAACGCTTCGGCTGTGCCCAGCCCCCCAACTCCACCATCTCCCTGGTGAGTTAAATCCTTAGTTCTCGCCGCCCCGCACACCACCACCGCCCCGGAGAGCAGCCTACCTAGAGGAGATGGGCACAACTAGGAGCTGACACCACCGCCCGGAGAGCAGGTCAGAAGCAGGAGTTCCGCAGCCTACCTAGAGGAGATGGGCACAACTAGGAGCTGAGAAAAGTCAGGTTCTTGGGCCCCTGATTACAACCTGGACGCCTGGTGACTCTCTCGTCCCTGGTTTCTCCATCTGAAAGTCAGGTTCTTGGGCCCCTGATTACAACCTGGACGCCTGGTGACTCTCTCGTCCCTGGTTTCTCCATCTGAAAATCTGCCTCCCGTCGCTATGTGAAGGGAAAAGCTAGGATCGGTACGCATGGGCATCACTGTAGCTGCGAGCAAAGTTCCTAGGATTACTGTGGTCCGGCAGGAGGGCAGGTGAGGGTGTGAAAACAGACACAACCTTGTTAAAGGAGAGTCAACAATCATAATTATCGCCCTGCAATTGGGCCTTTTCACCCCTTCCCAGGCCACAAATGAAAGCCACATCCCGGAACCCAGCAGAGGGAGAAGTGAAAATGCCAGGTGAGGATGAAGTGTCTTGGGAACGGAGTGAGCGGCTTTGAGCAGCTTCCTGGCCAAGCTCTTGACAGAAAGCCCCCCACACCTGCTCCAGCCCAAAGGCTGGGGGACAGACTTTGCCAGGGTAGACGTTTCTAGATGAGCTAGGAAGGTGAAGGCCATAGAGCAGAAATTGTGGCATCTACTATTGCTTTCCCAGAAAGCTGCCGGGAGTTTGACCACCAACAACCCTTGCCTCAGTTCACCCTGAGGATTCCCTCTCACACTATCAAATGTTTAATTATCCTGAAAAATCCTTGTTTTCAAGGAATTGCCATTGGTGAGCTTGGTGTCCAGCAGGGAGGGCAATCTGCAAAGGTGGGCAAGGTCTCCTCCCACCAGCCCCTGGCGACAGGGCACGCTCTGGTGGGGAAGGCAAGAGCTCTGAGAGACCACACTCAGAACTCGTGTTCCTCCAAGGGAGTGTAGGGTGTGTGCTTGAATCCACCAGGATGGGCCTTGGCCCAATGCCCTGCACCCTTCCCCGCTCCCAGAATTCAGCCCTCCCAAAAGACAGGCTATGCTCCTATTAGTCACACTCATTTCTCTTGCACTCATCTGTCCCCACCCCTACACTACCCAAGCAAGAATAGCAGGAAAAACTAGTTGAAGCTATCAAATGAACAAAGCTGCCTTTGCTGTAAAAATAATGAGGATATCAAAGTTCAAAATAATTGCAAGTACAACTGTCTCAACCAATTTTTAACTAGTCAACTGTTTATGTTACAGATAGCGTTGATAAAAATGGTTTGAACTAGTCAGTGATTTCTGATTATTTCTTCTCTACAGTTATGAAGAAAAGATGACTTAATTGACAGGAACTCTGATCTTCCGAACATTAGAGGTGAAGGGCAGAATTTGGTTTGCTTATTTTCAAAGTTTAGGAAAAGTGAAGTTAATGAGACCTCCTTCTTTAACTTTTAAAAATATTAATATAAAATTTTTGTAGACATACACATGTATACAAAAAGTCACTGATATGAGCATATTTGTAAGAAAGCACCAGAAATTTTAAAGTAGAGAGAAAGGTATCACAGACTGCCACAAATTACGAAGACAAGATGAAACACATTTAAAAGTAGCAGGATCAAGCTAAGACTAGACATAGAGAAGAAAGATTTCAGAAAAGCCTCTAGGAGACACCAAGACATCAAGTGGAATTAATGTATGGAATTCACAAGCGGTAATGACAGGATTCAGAAAAAATGTTAAACTAGGTACATGAAAAGAAAATGTTGATAAATGAATGTGTAAATTACAAATTTCATGAATAATTTTATAAAATGGAAGAGGGACATTTTCTGCTGAAATAAAAATGAGTACCACATTCTGCTGAACACATTTTTAAATAAACATTATTTGTGTGCATGTTTTTTGCGTGCGTGAATGTTTTAATTGTGTATAAACTGGCCAAAGTAGATTCGATTATTCTTCCAATAGAAGATACCAACTCACCAGGACGGTTTCAGTGTTTCTATGCCTCGGTCTTGTTTCAGCCCCCAGGGAGGCAGGCAGCCACCGAAACAGTGAAGACTTTGCCTTGCTGGTTTCCCGGGTAACATGTCTCAATGTCACTATCACTTCATTAGTATTTACAATCTTGATTGAATTATAAATTTTTAAAATAATGCAAATATTACACTTTAAAAGCAGCAGAGACACCTTTTCTGAGTATGCTTTGTAGAAATATGTTTTCATTTTCCTTCTCAAACAATTGCACATACTCAATCTATGCTTTGCTGTAAAGTATAAAAACATTTTAGAATCCATAAATGAAATGACAAGAAGCCTTTGTTCACTTGGCTCTCTCATAAAAAAACAAACAAACAAAAAAATCCCACAATGGACTTAAAAAGGCTCTGGAAGTAACTTTGAGATTTAGAGGCAATTCCATTACTAGAAAGTTATCTTCTTAGAAGAAATGTCTATTCAAATTCCTTGCCCATTTGAAAATTGAGTTGTTTTTCAGGTTGTTAAATTGTAGGTTTTCTTTATATATTCTGGATATTAACCCCTTATTGAATATATGATTTGCAAATATTTTCTATTCCAAAGGTTGCCTTTTCACTCCATCCTTTGATGCAATTTTTAATTTATCTATTTTCTTCCTTTCTTTCCTGTGTTTTGGTGTCATGTCCAACAATTCTGATGTCATGTAGCTTTTCCCATTTTCTTTTAAGAGTTATATAAGTTTAACTCTTACATTTAGGTCTTTGATCCATTTTGAGCTAATTTTTGGATATGGTGAAAGGTGGGAGTCCAACTTCATTCTTTTGCAGGTGGATATACAATTTTCCCAACATGAATTGTTGACAACTGTTCTTACCTCGTTAGTTTTGACAGTCTTGTCAAAAAATAATTTGACCATACATGTGAGGCTTTAAAAAGAAACAACACAAAAAACTATTAACTCCAGATTTATTCAGATTTCACCAGCTTTTCCATTAATGTCCTTTTTCTAGTTCAGAATACAGCCCAAGACACTTCACATTTAGTTGTCATGTCTCCTTAGCCCCCTCTGGTGTGTGACTGGTTCTCAGCATTCTTACTTTTCATGACCTTGGGTCGTTCAGAGTAAGGTCAAGATGTTTTCTCATGATTCAACTGGGTTAGAGGTATCTGGAGAGAATACCACTGAGGTGAAGCGGCCCCTTGATTGCATCATACCAGGAGGTGTGTGATAGCCACATGACGGCGCTGATAATGTTGACCTAGGACAGTGATGGCGAACCTTTTGAGCTCGGCGTGTCAGCATTTTGAAAAACCCTAATTTAACTCTGGTGCCGTGTCACATATAGAAATTTTTTGATATTTGCAACCATAATAAAACAAAGATTTATATTTTTGACATTTTATATATTTAAATGCCATTTAACAAAGAAAAATCAACCAAAAAAATGAGTTCACGTGTCACCTCTGACACGCGTGTCATAGGTTCGCCATCACTGACCTAGGCACTCAGTTAAGCTGGTGCTTGCCATGTTTCTCCACTGTGGGGTAACTTGTTTTCCTTTTCACACTCTAGTCACTGGAATTGAGTGACTGAGTCCAGCCCACATTCAAGTAGGGAGGAACATGCTCCCTACTTGAGCATGGTGTCTACATATATTATTTGGAATTCTTTACGAATTAATCCCAGGAATGTACTTAGTTTTGCTTGTTTTTGAAACTTTCCTGTCCATGAACATTATTTACAATATTTTGCTATTAAAGAGCAATGCTGCTATCTCCTGCTACTAGTCATGTGCGAAGTTCTGTAGGAAATATACCTAAGAGTAGAAATGCTGGGTTATAGACCGTGTGTTATAGTCAAATGTACAAGCCAGTGCCAGACTGTTTTCCCAAGTGTTGTATCGATTTGCATTCTCACCGGCAGTGTATAAAAGTTCCCATTGTTCCACATCCTCACCAACACTTGGTAGTCTTGGTCTTATTCATTTTTGCTGGTCTGGTAGGCATAAAATGATATCTTATTATGACCTTAATTTGGTTTTTCTAAATTACCAATGAGCATCTTTTCATGTTTATTCTCCATTGTACATTTTCTAAAAAATACCTGTTCATATCTTTTGCCATTTTTTACTGCGTTATCTTTCTTCTTATTGATTATAAGAATTCTTTCTAGTGCTTGCTTCAGCAGCACATATACTAAAATTGGAACAATAGAGATTAACACGGCCCCTGAGCAAGGATGACACACACATTCATGAAGCGTTCCATAAAATAATTCTCTATATGTCCTGTATCCTTTGTAAGCTACATCTCTATCATATATGACATATATATATACATATATATGAGATATATCTTTCATAAGGTACATCATTATCTTGGTACATCATTATCTTTGCCCCACTTCTGGCTTGTCTTTCCATTCCATCTTATACAATACGAAAGTTTTTCTCTTTTATGATAGCACTTAAATGTCTTAAGAAATCCTCCAGGGGTGGGAGGGCCGAGGGGGTCAATGAGGAAAATATCACTAATACTTTCAACAATAAAGATAAATTAAAAAAAATAAAAGAGGTCCAATTGTTTTAAACAGGAAAAAAAATCCCAATCCCAATCTAAGGTCATAATGGTATTTTTTTCTAAATTTTAATAAGTTTTTTATATTTAACTTATTTATAATTGATTTTTGCAATATGTATGTAAATATAAAGGTTTTCAGTAATAAAATTTCACATTATGTTGAAATTACCAATGAAATCACGGGGGGAATGATGCTGGAACTCTCAAATGCTCTTTTAAGAGGTTAGCACTTACTCCCTTGCCCAATCCGTCCCTGCACTAGAGGATGATTCTGATTGCCAGTGACTTTCATAGACCTAAGCAACATTCACATAAAGGTTGCAATTTAGACTTTTGCTCCTTCAAAGCACTAGTATACATGTTATTTAGTGTAATTTGGTTGTCAAAAAACAAAGGATTTTTAGGATGTTGATCAAAAATTTAAAATTTCTTTTCACTTTACTTAAATCCTGGCAAACAGATGTATCTCCTAATAGTGAAATAAATTTACTTCAATTCAGCAGTGGGGTGGGGTTTGGGGGTATTATTCTAAAGTAGAATCCTCTTTATGTTCCTAACAGCCTCATGGTTGACTAAAATAGTTAGAAGTTACAAATGAGGAATCAAAGGCAAAAATCTGTCCCTAAGCCAAGAAAACCAACTTTTTTCTCAATAAAAAATAAGGCAAACAGTTCTCCAATACCTCTCCACTTTATTAAGGTTAACCAACATAGTATTTAAAGTACCTGAACATTTACTGTAAGTTTTCAGTCATGTTTATATTCTGAATTATCTTTCCATAATTAAGTCAATATAGGCACATTGGTATTTTATAGAAAACACTTAGCCTTAGGAATAGGAATGAGTATAATTTGCAAATGTTACAAAAATGATTCCAAATCTCAACTAACCTCTTTTCCAAATTACCACTTGTTCAGTCTTTAATGAAAACACGACCCAAAAACAAATGCTTAAATATATCCCGTGTGAGAGTCTGGTGATTAAGAAATCCCTGAAGGAGTATAAGCCATATTACTGGAAAGCTCAGAGCACTGGCAAGGCTTAATTGCAAAGCACTTAACAGAAGGCCACAGATTTTGTTTTCTTAAGAGGAGCAAGGAACTCTAGGTGTCATTCTGTAATGCATTGAAATGGCATTGCCTCATGTTGAGTGTCACACAAAAACTCCAGGTCGCTGCTTCTTGATCTATTATTTTGGATAAGCTTCCACTATCATAGCATGGCCCTGTGAAGGAAGAATAAAGTTCAGTTAAAGAAATGAACAATAAATCCAGCCAGTACAGAGGCAGCAGAGAACGATGGGAAAAGTACAGGCTTTGGAGTTTGAGGTTGGCTCTGCCATTTAAATGCCGGGCGATCTTGGGATAGCCATTCTGAACCTCAAGTTCATCTATAGAATGGATCATGCTGCCTACTTCCTAGTGTTTTTGTGAGCATTAAATTAGATAGCATATAATACACACACACACACATACAATTGTATACATACATACATATATACATGTACACATCAGAGTAGAGTCTGATTCCTAGTAGATGCTCCATAAGTGACTGCTATTAAAATGAGAAGCCACAGGGGTCCATAAGTGACTGCTATTAAAATGAGAAGCCACAGGGGTTTTTAGCTGTATAAAAATAAACATAATCCAATGAATGCCAACTAAGTTGCTCATCTAAATCTACAACACTGTCTGGCCGGCATGGCTCAGTGGTTGAGTGTCAACCTATGAACCAGGAGGTCAGGGTTTGGTTCCCGGTCAGGGCATATGTCCAGGTTGCGGGCTCAATCCCCAGTGGATTATTGATGTTTCTCTCTCTCCCTCTCCCTTCCTCTCTGAAATCAATACAAATATATTTTTAAAAAAATAAATAAACCTACAACACTATAAAATAATAGGGCCAGGATTTGCAACCAGTTCTAGATGGATCCAAAGCCAGACTCTTCGTCCCTGTCCTACTCAGGTGAAGGGCCCACAAGGTAAGAAGTGCTATGCATGGTGCTGTGCACTAGTTACCTCCCTAGTTGAAAGCATGCATAGAAACTTATAATTTCATGAGTCTAAATCCTATCTGATAATCACAGCCAGTCTATTTTTGGACTGGGATCAAACCACTTAATAGCCTAACTACTGCTGGGCTACTTGGTTCAATCCCCATCAATATTTATTAAGAAACTATTGTTTCTACGCTGCACACTGTGTGTACAAGGCGTTGCTACATGGTGCCTGTCCTCAATTTATTACACACCATAATTCA